CTGCGCGCACTGCGCATGTGCAGGAGGACATCAAATGGCGTATACCCCGGAAATCTGCAGCACTTTTGCGGCCGCCACACGGCTATAGGCCGGACGGCTAATGGTTAAAAAAAAAAAAAAAACACTTTTTTTTTAAAGCTTGTTTTGGTCATGAAGGAGTTAGATTCATGACAGTTCAATATACTGTAATAGTGATCTGTGATTGGGTAGAGCTGGTCATATGGTATAGGGATGCTGTGATTGGTCCCATGTATCATGTGAGAACCAATCACAGCTCACCAGGAAGAGAAGTTGTTATGAATCAATCTGATTCATAACAGCTTAACATTGTGATGCAATCACATGATCACCGGAGCCCGTTCACCGGGATCTTTGTTCCGCTGTGTCCCCCAGTGTTGGTAAAGCCAGAGCAATGTATCAGTATGTTGCTTTGCCTGTAGCTGCCACCCATCTGCAGTACATTGCGGGTGGGTGGTCAGGCAGCAAGCGGTTAAAACAAAACACAAGACCCACCCACCCCCTCTTTTGGGTCTGGTACATATTTTAAGTGGGAACCCATGCCAACACACACACACACACACACACACACACACACACACACACACACACACGGGTTCCTGCTTAAAATCTGTACCATATATATATATATATAGTATCTCACAGAAGTAGTACACTTCTCACATTTTTGTAAAGATTTTATTCTATCTTTTCATGTGACAACACTGAAGAAATGACACTTTGCTACAATATAAAGTAGTGAGTGTACAGCTTGTATAACAGTGTAAATTTGCTGTCCCCTCAACATAACTCAACACACAGCCATTAATGTCTAAACCGCTGGCAACAAAAGTAAATACACCCCTAAGTGAGAATGTCCAAAATTGGGCCCAAAAGTGTCAATATTTTGTGTGGCCACCATTATATTTTCCAGCACTACCTTAACTCTCTTGGGCATGGAGTTCACCAGAGCTTCACAGGTTGCTACTGGAGTCCTCTTCCACTCCTCCATGACAACATCACGGAGCTGGTGGATGTTAGAGACTTTGCGCTCCTCCACCTTCTGTTTGATGCCCCACAGATGCTCAATAGGGTTTACATCTGGAGACTTGCTTGGCCAGTCCATCACCTTTACCCTCAGCTTCTTTAGCAAGGCAGTGGTCGTCTTGGAGGTGTGTTTGGGGTCGTTATGTTGGAATACTGCCCTGCGGCCCAGTCTCCGAAGGGAGGGGATCATGCTCTGCTTCAGTATATCACAGTACATGTTGGCATTCATGGTTCCCTCAATGAACTGTAGCTCCCCAGTGCAGGCAGCACCCATGCAGCCCCAGACCATGACACTCCCACCACCATGCTTGACTGTAGGCAAGACACTTGTCTTTGTGCTCCTCACCTGGTTGCCGCCAGACACGCTTGACACCATCTGAACCAAATAAGTTTATCTTGGTGTCATTAGACCACAGGACATGGTTCCAGTAATCCATGTCCTTAGTCTGCTTGTCTTCAGCAAACTGTTTGCGGGCTTTCTTGTGCATCATCTTTAGAAGAGGCTTCCTTCTGGGACGACAGCCATGCAGACCAATTTGATGCAGTGTGCAGCGTATGGTCTGAGCACTGACCCCCCCACCCCTTCAGCCTCTGCAGCATTGCTGGCAGCACTCATACATCTATTTCCCAAAGACAACCTTTGGATATGACGCTGAGCACATGCACTCAACTTCTTTGGTCGACCATGGCGAGGCCTGTTCTGAGTGGAACCTGTCCAGTTAAACCGCTGTATGGTCTCGGTCACCGTGCTGTAGCTCAGTTTCAGGGTCTTTGCAATCTTTTTATAGCCTAAGCCATCTTTATGTAGAGAAACAATTCTTCTTTTCAGATCCTCAGAGTTCTTTGCCATGAGGTGCCATGTTGAATGTCTAGTGACTAGTATGAGAGAGTGAGAATGATAACACCAAATTTAACACACCTGTGACCTTGTAACACTAACGAGTCACATGACACCGGGGAGGGAAAATGGCTAATTGGGCCCAATGTGGACATTTTGTTGCCAGCGCTTTAGACATTAATGGCTGTGTGTTGAGTTATTTTGAGGGGACAGCAAATTTAAACGGTTATACAAGCTGTATACTCATTATTTTACATTGTAGCAAAGTGTCATTTCTTCAGTGTTGTCACATGAAAAGATATAAAATATTTACTAAAATGTGAGGGGTGTACGTACTTCTGTGAGATACTGTATATGCCTGTGGGGTCTGCCCAAAATCAATACCAGACCTATATCTGAGCATGCAGGCCAATAGGCCAGGAAAGGGTGGGTCTCAGAGGACTGGCACATGACGTCATAGGGGTGATGTCATAGGACATGGTCTCTAGGTGTAGAGTTTACTTAGTGGGTGCAGGATAACAGCACTGTCATTTGGCAACTGTCAAGCAATGTAAGCAGTCGTGTTTGGCAGGCTTTTTTTTTTATTTTTATTTTTTTGTGTGGGTTGACAGGTGGCAATCCGGGATAATTTAAAATGGTTTTAAAATTGGGGGACATTTTTATTTATTTTAATAAAGGACTTGTCAAAAACTGTGTTGTGTTTTTATTTTTTTTTTTGGTGAATGAGAAGAGGTACTATGTATCCCATACTGATTCAAATGCGGGGGGGGGGGGGGGGGTTACGACCATTTTATTTTTAATGATGGCGCTTTTGTTTGCATTCTGCTGTCAGCAAAATGTCTGCTGGTGGACTGAAGAGTTTGGTTCCATAGCAGATTTTGAAAAAAGAAAGTCCAAATATGATGCCAGGGTGGAGACATTTTTTAAATAAAAATAGGACAGCAACGCATACTTACTTTCCTTCTGTAGGACAGCTGGAGCTGCCTCTCTTAAAAATGAGTAACTCTTCATAAGGAATCGAACCTGTATGAAGAAACCATAAGCTTAGCTTTATGGACATAGAACATGGACCTGGGTGGCAGAATCAGTGTAGACCAATAGTGCAGGGCTGGCTACTGTTGACCTGTGTGGGAAATAGAGATCAACAGCCAAAAGTAGGCACAACATCAGCTCCATCTTTTCCATAACAGGAAACTATAAAAATAATACATTACACTCAGCCTTGATTCAGCACCATTACATCTGTTATAAATGCTCATGATTGTGGCTGTTTCTTAAAAAACGGAGATGGGACCAGTGAAACAATTGCTTACATGGCTAGTAGCATCATGTAAGACCTATACACTGTAGGTGCTCTGTGAAAAAGGTACAGATTAGGTATTACCCAAGTATAAGCAGCACTAAAGGAAACCTTCTACAGCTCCCATTTGTCACACAAAGTGTTCCGGGTGGCATTTGTTCCTAGCCCTCTTTGATCAGTAAGGTAAACATTGTTAGAAGGTATGAAACTAGCCTAGACAATCTGAAATAAAAAGGAAACCTATAATGAAAGTAATATGGTGGATGCCACTGACAGGAAAGGTGCCACAAAAATCAATGCATGATTAATGCATTTTCAGCTCAATAGACCATTTTAGTCAATGTCTCCTTAACACACATGGGGTATCACCTTCTGTCACCATTGTTTACTGGCAATGTTTATGTAGCGCTCCTCTAGATAGCCAGGGGGAGCTAGTTATTTATTTTTATAGTTAGAAAGGCAGCCTGGGCAATAGTCAGCTGGGTAAACTTTAGGTCAGGGCTGAGAGGTTCTACAAATCAATTCCCTGATACCTCCCCTTGAGCTAGAGATTTGGAGAAGTCTCTAGAATGCAGTGGGTGGGGGGTGAGGAGGGGTTGATCTGCATACTTAAGGGATCCTGACCAATCCCCAGGCTGGAGGCTTGGCATGGGGCCAAGACAGTCCTTAAGTATGGCTGAGCCACTCAGCAGGAGAGTTCAGATGGAATATGTGAGGAAGGTGTAGGAGCCTGGGAGGGGTCCCAGTGGAAAGGGCCTACCTATATATGCTGGGACCTGGACAGGAGGATCACTCAGCCTCACTGGTCCCCAAAAGGAGGACCACCTGTGGAGCCAGGGAAGGAGCCAGCTCAGCAAAAGGCCTGAAGATGGCCGCCAGCCCACAGGGAAGAACTGAGTGATCCTACACCCCCTGGGTCAGTTAAGGGAAAAGGGCATTCTGGTGGGGAACCTGACTAGCTCTATACCTGGGACTGTTACATTTAGTGGTGGTTTTGGATCCCCTTGCCCAGGGATTTCCTCCAGATAGCCAGATGAGGGGAGGATTCATCTGGGGTGGTATACCAGGAGAGGCTAGAGAGCTCTCCAAGGAGGAACATTTTGCTGTGTAAAGACAGTACATAGTTGCCAGGAAGTTGTCCTCAGTTGCAGTTCCCTTGGGCATTGCATACACCCCTTACCCCATGTAAGTTCAAATACATCTAATAAAACCTAAAAACCAAGCTCATGGACTGTTTACTATCCCAGGAGTACAAGTCTGAAGAAAAATGCATGTTGCCTGGCTGTGCAGGACTATAGAGGGACCCAAATCTTCAGCAACTCCTCAGGGGGTAGTGCTACATTTATAAGATAATTATAATGATCACTACTATTTACAGAACTCACCTGTTCGAGGATAACGATGAAGCTTGATGCTGGAGGCAACTGATAATGTTTTACCACATAGACAGGGAAAATAAAAAGGCCACATGTCTGACTCACAAGTAGGAATATACCTACAAAGGCAGACAACATAATTTTGTGATTGGATTTGGGATACAAAGACCCCCAAAAGACTAGTGCTTTGTAAGGCACCAACAGCGTATATACAAACAGACAAATCCAGGACCATGCAACAGTGCCAAGTTGTCCAAAGGTAAAAGAGAGAACATTAAACTCCAAAACCACCCTAGAAAGAGAGAGCAGAGACTAGATTTACTGGGATGAATCATGTTTCAATTAGGATTAGAGATTTTACATATATAGAGGCACTCACACAGTTTATAATAAAGACATAATAACACACTGAATCCTTATGAAAAGGTAATATAAACTCTAATGCAGGGGCGGACTGACCATTTGGAAACTCGGGCACTGCCCAAGGGCCCGGGGTCAGTAGGGGGCCCCATGAGATGCCCCTGGTAACTTTTTCAAAGGCGTTTTTGAGTTTGGGCAAGGACACAGGGGCCCCATGATCCCCTATTGCCCGGGGGCCCCATGAGTTGTCAGTCCGCCCCTGCTCTAATGTTATTATAAGCCTAAGTAACATCCTTTTCCATGTGATGTCTTTATCTTGATAAAAACATATAGATGACATCACAGTCTGGGACAGTCACCACACATATAACCAGGGAACGTGAAGAACTTTTAGAAAGGTTGGCCCACTTTCACGTTACAATCCCCGCTTCCAAAAGGTCACAGATATAAAAAAAAAAACATAGATGAAGAGATATTAAACATCTGGAGATCCCACTAACCTCCCTTGGTCAATGAGATCCACAGCTGCTGTACTAATCATAAAAACACAGAGGGCAGCCAAAAACATGTGGTAGATGGTTCGGAAATGTTCCACCTCCATCAGGTCACTGGAGAAAAAGTGGAGAAGATGCAACACAATTGTTTATTAGACATACTATAGCAGATTGTACTTCCTGACATCCTGTGGACTGAATAATATGTGGTTAGAGCACATAGGGGGGGAAAAAAAAAAACAAAAAAAAAAAAACACACAAGTTACAAGGGACCAACAAGGGATTAAACGAATATACACAACTTAAACCATCTACTACAGGGTTCCACAGAACCCTAAGGTTCCTCCAGAGGCTGCTAGGGGTTCCTTGAGCAATGAGTAATTTCTGCCTCTCAGATAAATTCCCACTGACACCATTGATCATTTTAGCTATCAGTCTAGCTAGCCATTTAGCTAGCAGTCTGTTTAAAATGACACATCAGCACTCCAATTAGGAACTGTGTTCAACAAACTGGAACTGAATGGTACTTTAAAAGCTTCAAAAAGTTTGCTGAAAGCTCTGCAAATGCTTTGTCAAAGCTTGCTGTTCACACTCCTCGTATACAAACTGAAACCTGTGTGAAATAGGCCTAATTGTGCTATGCGTGTTCTAAGGCAGCATTTATCAACTTTAGTCTTCATGTACCAAGAATTTATATATTCAAGGTTTCCTTAAAGTGTTACTAAACCCACAGCAATAAAATCAGTCTGTATATGCAGTAAAGCATGCTTGTAATACTCACTGTTGGACCTAAGGGGTTAATCCTCTGCATTGTGTAAAAAGGCTGTTTGGTCCTGTTTTTTCTGCCCCTCCTCTTGTTAAAATGTCCACCTGATAAGACAGACTGAACCCATAGTCACATGCTCAGTTTAGTGTGTATTACTAGAGAGGTGTTATTTTCTTGGGAGAGTGCATGTGATCAGCACAGGGCCAATCAGCACGGCCCAGACATAGGTAAGGGGTCCTGCATCCTCCTAGAAAGAAAAAAAAAACTCCTACAAGCTTTAACCAGTGCTGTGCTGAGGTCACAAGACTACTCTAACTACTGATGAGAAAAGATATTTTGCAGTTTATATTTACTAAATAATTGCATTTCCATGTTGTGTGTACTGTGGGAGAGCAGATATAGTGAATGCAGGGTCCTGGGTTTAGTAACACTTTAATAGCAGACACAGACACAGCCTACCTGTCTTGTTATACCCAACTGCCATGCAATCCGTTTGATTCTAGCAGATTGGATTAGATGTAGGTTTACACCCGCCGCTCCATAGAGGAGAATGGAGTTTTCAATCGGGTTGGCCTGAAACATGGACAGGCAGGCTTGATTGAACGTTCGTATGAAAGGGGCCTTACACTCTGGCCAAAACAACCACAAAAATTGCCTGAAGATTTTATTTAGATTATTTACATTAGTAGTTCTAAACATTAGATATTAAACATCCACTTATAAAAATATAACTAAAATATAATTTGTTTAGAGTATTTCCATCTGCTCACTAACAGTAAATGAACAGAATAATAAAAGAATGAAGATATCCACTTACTCTAGCAGGGAAGCACGATGCACAAATATTTTCCTCCTTTCAGACACTGGTCCCTGGGGTCTAAATCACAAACAGCAATACAGTGCATTTAATATAAAATGTGTAATTTGCACATATGAACATGCAGTTATTCATTGAGTAATTTAAGAAAACCTGATCCAACAACATAAAAATGGAAAAAAAAAAAACAAGATAAGATTTAATTTTCATCACAATATTAAACCATATGATACCTGTATGCCAAGTAGAAGAACAGTGGTAACAGACGGCAGGAAGGGATTACAGTTGTATAATCCACAATACACTATTAGTGATCACTACTCTACTTGAACTCAGTACAAAAAATACATCAGGTTCTATTTTAAAACTCCAATCTGTTTTTTTTTTTTTTTTTTTTTTTAAACTTTATTGGAACTTACTATTTCAAACATAGTAAAAGTTGTCCAGCCATATGTTATTTAAATTGTGATGCTGGAAATTAAGTATCCTAAAAGCAATATCAAAAGGTTTCCTTTTTTCTTTGTAAAATAACAAACATGTTATATTTACCTTCCGTGTGCAGTGGTTTTGCACAGTGCAGCCTGGATCCTCCTCTTCTGGAGTCCCCTGCTGGCGCTCCTGGTTCCTCCTTTCTGTCGGGTGCCCCCATAGCAAGCAGGTTGCTATGGAGGCACCCGGGCAGGCATGTTCCTAAGCCGCCAGCTCCACGTGTCCATTCACACACGGAGCCGTGACTTGGCCCAAGCCCCCTCTCTCCTCATTGACTGACTGGTTGTGATTGACAGCAGTGGGAGCCAATGGTTCCCGCTTGCTGTCTCAGCCAATGAGGAGGCAGAGACCCTGGACAGCCAAGGCTGTTGTGCACATCAATGCATCACGATGGGGCTCAGGTAAGTATTGAGGGGGCTGGGGGCAGTGCTTCACACAGAAGGTTTTTTACCTTCATGCATAGAATGCATGAAGGTAAAAAACCATCAGCCTTTACAACCACTTTAAACTAGACATGCATTATTAGTTTTTCGTTCATAGGAAATTGGTCATTAGTCCGAGCATTCCATAATGCCATTGAGTCAACTACTTTAATTTGAAAGCCCTTAAAATCTTCTTGCATACTGTACATGTGTCTTACAACTTTGGCCCTGGCTCTGCTTTCAAGTGCAATTTTTTTTACATTAAACCTTAATTAAAGCATATCTTTGATCAAAAAGTAAAATCATATTTTCCACACTGTATTTCAGTTATTTCGATGTCAGACATTTTCTACTTTTAATGATAAGAACTATCATGACATTGGAAGATGTGCTTGAGGAATAGCACACATTTACTTCCTTGTATTCTGTAACCCGTATTCACTATGCCCTATGAGTAGGCACTGCTGTGTCACACATTTTACAGAGCCTGCCTTCTGAACTACAGAGGTGCTGACAGGAGGAGTTTCAGGAGGAGTGTCAATATAGGAATCAATACTTGAAGGCAGTAAGGTACTGTGGGATATGTAGCCCTTAGAAATGAAAAGTAAACAGCAGAGGGAAAGCTGCAAAGCATAAGGGAGTCCAGGAAAATGTAGAAAGAGATGGCTAGCAGACAGGCAGAACGCAGCATGAAAGAAGATGATATTTCCAAGCTTATATTGAATTGTCAAAAATAGCCATGAATTGTATTGTTATATGCGGTGACTGTATATCTACTTTAACACATCATAGCCATTTATCTCACCGTTTTATTACAGATGTTGCAATTGTATCTCCATTTCTGTATGATTGCACAGCCTCTGTCATGGCTTTATCAAGAAGGATCCTTAAATGATTGTTTACATCCTCCAGAATCTCTGCCTTCACACCCTAGAAAACAGAAGTCTCAGATCCTTTTAAAGGCCAACTCAGAGCACCTTCATTTTAAACCCTTTAAAGTGGATTTGAATGCAGAAAGCTTTTTTTGAAGAGGTTATAGGAAAAAATTAGAAACGTTAATTGTGCCTAAGCATTATCCTGCAAAATGTACCTTTCTGCCCTTTCTGGTATGTAGGTGTGCCTAGGCACTCCTGTGCTCACAACGTCATGGTTGTATTTCTGCTGTGTGAGATCCAGGGTACTGTTTCCTGATTGTCTCAGGAGATTTGGAGTGAGAGTTTAGTGATCTCAGTGCTGTACTGCTCACTACTGTTCTTGCTGGAGGCCCTGACATGAGCAGGTGAAAGCCCTGCCCCTACACCGGTACACAGTGCAGAACAAGGCATTTTACATCTGTAACCTCATGAGCAGGGCCCTTTGATCCCACTTGAATTGTATTTTAACTGTCTCCCCTTATTTGTAAAGCTCTGCACAAACTGATGGAACTATATAAATCTTTAAAAATAATAACAAAAATAATAGTGAAAGATCAGCTTCAGATAGACAGTAGGCAATGAGGAGGACTTTGCTGGCAAAACTTCCAGAGCTCTGTTCCTCCAACAGGTTAATAATAGGTAAGTGCTTACTTGTTTGTAATACTATGCATTGTTACCGAGAATGCAGAGCTATCCACAAGATGGCAGCATTCAGCACTTTCACTTTGCCATAGCCCTAGTACAAGTATCCAAAGCATTCTGGGAGTTGCAGGCCGGAAGCAGGACTTTTCACACAGTAAACCTGAGTCAAACTACAAAACCCATAAGCAACAGCCAAGGGATGGGATACTATAAAAAAAAAAAAAGCCGGGAAAGACACAAGGGAGTTGGTGAGAGACATTCCAGCAGCAAGGAGTGTGTGTGAGATGTGTGCTGAGCCATGCCGTTCTGGACCAGGCCAGGCGAGGCTGAGCTATACAGAGTTCCTAGGGAATGGAGGACGAGACCGTTGTGGTGAACACTGAGCTGTGGTGGCTGTTTGGAGGGGACCCTACAGCTGCAGGAGTGCATGTGTCTCAACTGCAACTTCATTTAATGGGCACCCCCCACCGCAGGACCACCTACACTTCTCAGGATCACCACAGAGGGACTGAGTGAGAGGGACACTGACCCAAGTTTCTTGGCTACAAAGTTTCCACCAGTTCTTAACACTAACCTTTCTAGGCAAAGAACACTTCTGCATTTTGACCCTTATCAAACATTCCTTTGCCATCTACTGCTTTAAGCTGCTGCCTCTTTCACTACTTTGGTTATTGCTTCCAGATTGCTGAATTGTACTACCCCTTTGCTCCATGCCTAACAGATTCCTCACCGCAACTGCAT